GAAATGGAACCCTTGGAAGAGAAAGTGCTCACAGTGAGAAATCAAGTCAAAAAGTCCATTGCATTCAGCCATGTGGCCCGTGGTAACCTTGTTGAGAGCTTAGTGATGATAAGGCACATTAAGTGAGTTGCAGAGGCTGCATACAGCCAGCACAGACAATATGGAGGAGCCAGTGGTGAAGACAAGGAGGATACGCCTATATGTATGTAGCCTTGAGGCAAAGGGGAGGTTCGCTTGTTTGGTTTGTTTCATAAGTGTTTAAATGCCAGTTGGAGAAGTACAATTAAGGGTATAATTGAGGTGCCTCCTACTATTAGGCATTCTGATTTAATCAATGCAAAGAGAGCCTGGGTATCAGGATATTATTTAAAAGTTTCCCAGATGATTCTAATGTGCAGCCGTATTTGAGATCACTGTTATAGGTCATAATTGCCTATATGTTTAGTTTATAGTTATTACACCAGTTTTCCCAGTATCGACTCAATCTCAACATGCCAGTCTTCTGACAGATTCACATGGGACCAACCATTTCACAGGCTCACCTCTTAGCTCCATCCCCGGGAAGTTATCTTCTGGTGTTCGTCTACATTAGCTTGTCAGCTCAGTTCAGAGCATCCTGTCTCCATGGAGAGGTTGACCTGCCTCAGTAGACAACTTAAAAAATGGTCATCTTTTAACTACCTCTCTCACTAAAGACAAAGAAAAAGAATTCACTAAGTTTTTTATCCGGCCTTGGTTTTGGTTCTTAGACAAACCTTTTAAACTGTGACCATATGGCATCACAAATTAGTACTAAGGTCAGTCCTTTCCATTCATTCAGGGAATTTTTTTTGGAAGTTTCTAGCACCTCACGATTAATATTTGAATGTCATTTTAAAGTTTTAGAGATCCTATAGTATCATACATACCATCTCACAAAATGACGCTGCAACTGGTTTGCAGAAGAAGTAGAGGCCCAGAGAATTTACGTAATTTGCCCAAGATGGCAAATTAGGGCATGAGTGCAGATCCTCTGACGTGGTGCCCACTGGCCTCTAAGGATGTCCTGGTTCCTCTTCAACGATGGCAATTATTTGACACAAATTACATCGCCAGTAATTTATCTGAGTAAACTATACATTGCATTATGTTTACAGAGAAGAAAAAGCAACAGCAATAACAATAGAAGGTGAGGGTGTAGAATCTCCCATGATAGTGGCAGCTCCATCAGGAAGTAATGTTCATGGACCTTTATGTTGGTGGGCGAGGCACTTGGAAAGAGGATTCCTGCAGAAATAGCACTACTTGATAATCATGTAGATTCGCATCATTTTAGAGCTAGAAAGAAATCCTAGCCAAAATCATTCCTTCTATGGAGTTGGGTAAAGTGGCATTACATATAATTAGTTCAGATCAAAGTTAATATGCAAATGCCTATGTCTTAAGTACATTGTGTGTGTTTTTCCACTTGCGTCAGAATAACAATTTAAATTATCTGAATATTCATACTCAAACACCATGGGAGAAAATAGAATCTATTTTTAAAGTGAGTATAAAGCTGTTCTAGAAATACTAGATTCTAGACTTACTGGCCAACATGGTAGCCTCTAACCGCATGTAGCTATTTAAGTTTAAAGCCATTAAAATGAAATAAAATATAAAATTTTGTCTTGTTCGTGATATCTTCCACTTCCCTTGCTCATTTGTTACATGTGGCTGGTGGCTACCACACTGAATTGTGCGGATTATAGGAGTTTACCTTCATTGCAGAAAGTTCCACTGGACATCACTGACCTACAGCCCAGATTATGCCATTCTCTAAACCATGAGCATCCATTCTACAGACCTAAGGGCAACATCAAAAGCCATTCAGTTTTAATCGTTGGGCATGTTGCCCACCATGGTTTAAAAGTCATAATGAGGAAGAAAAGGATAAACTCAGAAGAAAACAAGTTAGACTGTTCCTTCAGTAGGACTTCTACAAAAGGAATTTGCACCTGTCATAGTTACAATGCAACTTAGCAGTAAGCTTCCTAAATAAGAAAAGGAAAAAGTTAAGAGAGTTAAGGGGTAATATTTAACAGTATTTATAATAATAAAAGGGTGATATGCTAATTAGACCAGATGTCTTCCTGGTGTGGGGGAAGCCAGCCCGAGTCCCAGGTACCTGCCGGAGGAGGGAAGCCTGGGTCCCAGGTGCCAGAGGGAAGCCAGTGCTGGCAGCCAGGGGAAAGAAGTCCTACGTTTGCACAGATTTTTGTGCATCGGGTCTCTAGTAATATTATAAAAAGGACCAATAATATTATTTTAAAGCTATGTAAATTAGGCAGCAGAGGGCTGAACATGAAAACTACAGGAAATATGAAGTTTTATCTGAAACACAGCATCAACAACAAAACGAAGTGTCCCTTTGGAATGTCTGTGTTTGTGTGATGTGTACAGATGAGTATGTCTGTGTAAGTCTCAAAGCAGAACAATACCATTTGTCTCCAAATTTTCTCAGTTCCTCTATAATTCCCATTTTATTTTTATTTCAGATCAATGGCGGAGAGAAGCGACCTGCCTCTGACATGGGGAAAAAACCAAAAACCCCCAAAAAGAAGAAGAAGAAGGACCCTAATGAGCCCCAGAAGCCTGTGTCTGCCTATGCATTGTTCTTTCGTGACACTCAGGCCGCCATCAAGGGCCAAAATCCAAATGCGACCTTCGGTGAAGTCTCTAAAATTGTGGCTTCAATGTGGGATGGTTTAGGAGAAGAGCAGAAACAGGTAAGATGCAAAATGGAGTGGGAGTCACCACGACTTGAGAAAGTGTGTGCATCCCCAAAGAAATGGCTTCTGAGGATGTTGGGCGAATTCTTCAGCTGCTGGAACTAAGGCTGAGAAGAATGTGCCCCATCAGAACCAGATTTCAGGAGTCTTTCTTTCACAGAATTTTATACTCCTTTATTGCCCCTCTATAAATAGCATGTTAATCTTTGTTTCAAAGTTTACATAGTGCAGTTACTTTTGGAAGGACTTTTATATATCCCAGCCAGAATTACCTCATTCCTTCATCTTGCCAATGTGATCATAAAGACTAAAAAAGTACTAAAAGTATTTTCAAAACTGTCCACACCTCTCTTCAGCACTTACTATTTACCCTTTTGTCATCAAAACCCTCTTTGCTCTTTGCTAAATGAACCTCAAATTTAAGGGTTTCTACCCTTAGCGATTCCCTAAAGACTGCCAGGGAATGTTATTATTAAATCCCACAGACACCATATTTCTAGGCTGCATTAAATGGGACCAGATGCCTGCTTTTTTTCTTCCCTCGCGGATTGCCATGATGTGACTGAGGACCATACTTAGGGAGGCCACAGGAGACAACTTTGCATCTCAGTCCAGAAGGTCTTAAGGAGGATGGGAACCGAGGAGAGAGAGCAAGTGTCCAGTATATAGATGTGGCCCACCTCAAGCAGCATTGATCTCATCATTCTAAACCAGAGACTAGATTACCATTGCTAACATCTAGAATTTAATTGTCACAAAGAAAAAATTAGATAAGCATTATCATTAAAGTATAGTTATTGAAACAATTCTGTGGATGCAGCTGTAACTGTTACAAATAGTGAATTGCATTAATGATGTATTCGCTCCATATTTGATTCTTGATAGAGACATTTACCTTTCTTCATCAGGTCCAGGAAAGTATGTAAAAACCAGAAAAATCTCAAACCTGTGTACATCTAGAAGTACCTGTATATTGTAAACACATATCAACATTTATGATGTATATAGTGTTTTATCCTTTTAAGAATGTTATCACATGATTTATGCCATTTGTTCTGCTCAATACTTGTAGACACTTTAATTCAAATTTTGCAGATTATGAAACGGGGCTAGCTAGTTCAATTCATTCACTTATTCTTTCAACAAATAGTTGTTGAGTATTTACTACGTGCCCCAGGCACTGTTCTAGACACTGGGGATATAGCAGAGAACGAGACAGAGTCCCTATTCTGTTGAGTGATTTGTCTAAGATTATATGTTTGGTACATAGAATTCCGGTGACTAGAACTTATCACTCAACATACAGTTCTTGTCTGACAAACTCTGACATCAATTACAGTTGTAATGACAAAACCAGGTGCTAAGGAAACATAGAACCTACCTCCCCACTTCTCTCCAACCTCCCTTTGCCCTAAGCCAAAGCTGTCTTTTACTCTCGGAACTCTCTCTACATATTCTCATGCCCTTTCCACGACTGTCAGCCGCAGGGCATGGCTTCCTAGGCCTCTCGTGTGGAGCACCATGCTGCCCGGACGGAACACACACTCCTGGAGCCTTCTCTGCACGCTCAGTTAAACACCCATTTCCCTAATAAGAGAACAGTTGACATTGTGTTTGTGATTCTATCAAAAACCTAATAGGGTTGGTTCCGGATTTTAGAACTGGTTTCTATCCTAACTCAGATCAATGTGCTCTCACAGTCCCAAAGCGGAGGTGTGGCTCCTCACTGATGCTGGCCATTCACAGTAAAAGTGTTGCAGTGACTTCATTCCTTCACCCAGCAAAACGTCGCTAAATGGGAAACCGTGCACTTGGACCAGGAGTACCAAAGCCACACCTGCGCCCTGGCTTTTGTGATTGCAATCCCTCAGTGCTCCACCCAGGATGCCACATACTCCAGACATACCTCTCCCTCTGCTTTGATAGCCCCTGACCCAGCCCCTCTCCCCTACCCCTGACCCAGCCCCTCAGACTCAGCCCCTCTTGCCCCACCCCTGACCCAGTCACTCAGCAGGGAGTGTTATTCCAAGCTCCTCTGTGCTCCCTTAGCTTCTACTTTGTCAAAGTTGTATTTCAAGAAACCAGTTGCCTGTACTACTGGCCATCTGACCCTTCCTTATTATCTTTCTGACCCCAGGTACCTTTTCCTAATGATCCCCCCTCCCCCACTCACTAGAGGAGGTCATGTGGTTTTAAGACCAGTGGTTTTAAAAAGGCAGAGGTTTATAAAGGCCTTTCCTAACCCATGATTGGTCCTTCACATTAGCAATATAAAAAGTCAGTACTTGTAGCCACATTTCTGGTGGAAAAGAATAATGTTCTTTTTTTATTTTCCAATTACAGTTGACATTCGATATTATGTTCATTTCAGGTGTACGGCATAGTGGTTAGACATTTAAGGATTTATGTTCTTATTGTGAGAGTTAGGTAATTCCTCAAGGCAGCAAATATAAATATGTAGGGTTTAACCACTAATCCTATTACAATGGGGCCTTTTATTTTTATTATAGCAAGAGGGGAACATTAAGATAACATTTCACTCTTTTTTTAATATAATTTTTATTGATTTCAGAGAGGAAGGGAGAGGGAAGGAGAGATAGAAACATCAATGATGAGAATCATTGATTAGCTGCCTTCTTCACACTCCACACTGCGGATCAAGCCCACAACCCGGGCATGTGCCCTGACCGGGAGTGGAACTGTTACCTCCTGGTTCATAGGCTGGCTCAACCACTGAGCCACACCAGTCAGGGCCATTTCACTGTCCTTTTATCTGATCAGATAAGGCAGCTATTTTCAACCTTTTTCATTGTGCACATAAATTAATCATGGTGCACATAAATTAATCACTAAAATTCTGTGGTACAATCTGACAAAAAAAATAGGTATAATTTCGATTCATTCACACTGGATGGCTAGTGTTATGTTGGTTGTTGATACTTTTGAAATTTGACAATCTAAAGGAACGTGGTCAGTGCCCCTGACTAAATAGTCAGGTATTGCATGTTTTAAAATTCTTGTGGCCCACCCTTTGAAAATCGCTGATATAAGGTAATTACAGACCCAAAGAATATAAGAGTAACTATTTTTGACTGTCATGGTAAAAAGGGAAATTACTCCCATGGCCCCATTCTGTCTTTCAAAATTGGGGCTAAGACTTTCTAATAGAGATGTGATCACAATGATCATTTAAGGCTTTGACATACGATGGCAAAATGTTTTCCTCTTTCTCTTCGGAATTTTATTTCAAACCTAATAAGTAACTTTGGGTTCTCTCTTAGTGGAAATAGTTGAGGGTCTTTTGGGGAATTTGTTTTATAAGTAAGGGATGAAATTAAATAATGGTTAACCCTTTATAACTCAATGTGTATTATAAAGCAACTCCATAATCCAAGTCCAGTGGTTTAAAAAAGTATGGTTTACGACACACAGAATGCAGGCCCATCCCAGGGACAAGAAGAAAGAGGGTCCAATAGGTGGAAGCAGACACGGCGCTTACAACGGGGAGCATATGCATCGACGGGCCACGGCTCTGCTGCTCCGTGGCAGCCCTTCCCTGACAGTTTGCAGGAATTGCCAGCAAAGCAAATATGCCCTCCTAGGATGCACATTTGAGCATCCAGAGAATTTCAGCAAAATATCCAGAAGTGTTATTATGGTGTATTACCACCTGTTCTTTCCCTTTATGTTGACACATTGTGCCAACATAATGTAATATCTCTGTTTCAAACTTAAATTAATTGTATTTTACTCTCATTCAATATTCAAATTGGGGAGCACACAGGCTGCTACGCATTTGTAAAGGCATGTTGCTCCCGCAGATGAGAGGCAGACCATTAAACTTCAAAACTTAGGACAAATGCGCATGTTATACACAACAGCCCCACGTGACGCGACCGGCATGGTGGAGGCAGCTGGTTCGAGTGGGAAGCAAGGATTTCATGAGCCACCATTGTTCAAAAATCCTGTTGTCATAATAGCCCACAATTAGGAACAGCCACAAAGAGAAACACAAACTGGGGGAAATGGACAAAATTAGTGATGGCTTATTAGGGGGCTCCGAAAATTATAATATTTAAGGGAAAACAGCCATTAGCAAGATTACAATTGAATGTTTTCTTAGCAGCCGGAGGGAACATGACTAATAGAGCGGCTGTGTGCCTACATCACACGCTGCCTCATTGTGGAGTGCGGGCGGACCCACCCCACCGGCCGCTGCAGAGCGCAGGTCTTTATTTTCAGAACTATATGGACTTTGGTTCCTGTGAAGCATCTCTCAGAGAAGAAAACTCACAAGAAAGCTGAAAGAAGCGGTAAAAACCCTCTGGGAACACAAAACATCCCTTGTGACTTGTTCCTACCCAAGCCACTGAACACCCTTCACGTATCAGAACTCTCTCCGCTTAAATACTTGGGGAGATGGCACTGAATGTGGGATGGGGGCAGAATTGTGTTTGGGATGCCGACCGGAGGTTTTAAATGCTAATGAATCGTAAGACAATGCAGAGCCCATTTCAGAAGCATGCTAAGTTGTTTCAAAGGCACCAGATGGAGAAAGGGAAATAAAACATAAGTATGTTGGTCTTTGCTACTTCGCTTTCGCTGCCTGGAACTACAGAGGGAGAAAAAGAATGCTGTGACAGTATCATGCCCTTTATGTTAGTACTCCTTGGAGTTTCGGCAACCCTCAGCATCTTTTTTATGAGGTTCCAGCTAAATTTCCTGTGTCATCTCCATTCCTTCTGGATTCTCTGATTCTGGTCATCGAAGCCGAGGATCCGGGGTCCGCAGGGACAACAGAGAACAAATCAAGCCCTTCTCAATTAAAGGGTCCGCCCAGCTTCGAAGCAGAAGGGATTGGTCCAAAGAGCTATAAAGGGTTCTTGGGTCCTTTTCAGCCAGGGAAAGTCAGCTCGTAAGTGGAAAAGGAAAGTCACCTTAAATCAGAACCAGATGTAAATGACTAAATGAACCTTAAGTTCCTAATTGGAGACACA